TTATGGGAAGTAGTGGTAAAAGTTTAAGAAATAAAGTGAAGCTTTAGTGCTGCTACTTATAAAAAATCTATGCCACGCTAGCTTTCTGTTTATCACTGACATCACGGCAGAGTAGTTGACTTTGTTTTTTAAATATCAAGGTGACCATGCTGTTCTGTGTGTCAGAATCAAGAACGTAGCAGTAGCTGTGACAAAAACAGCTAGAATTCACCTGTTTCGAGCACAGGAATGGCAGAAGCTGCAGAACAGTATCCAAGATCACAGCTGTACAGAGAAGTTCTCTAAAGCTCAGCTGACAAGTGAGTTGCTACTTTTTTGTCCTTACAAATTAAGTTATCTGTGTATTTAGAACCCTGTTAAGTTACCTGTGTATTTAGAATATTTATTTGCATGAATTTGGACTTTGCATCAACTTAAGTAAAAGCAGAACTTCGGCCTTCTGTAATTAAAAATTATTACTTTGTTTGTATCACTTCAGAAGACTTTGTTTGCAAGTTATGATTTAGTATACTGCTGGAAAATGAACAATCTTTGATAAATAATGACTGTAATGCAAACAGCCAAACTTTATGACCAGTTTTAGTCTCGTGCTCTCACTTGTACACAACTCAGGAAGGGTACACGTTTGGCTGAAGTTTTCATTTACTCATTCAGTACAGAGATTTTCTTTAACTCCACTTAGAGTAAAAGTCTTTCTTTTTTTTAATCTCAAACTTTTCCATAAAAAGATTATGTTGAGTGTTTGAAAGAATTTACAAAGAATACCACTGTAGTATGAAATGGAAGAACTTGAGAATCTAAATGTTTGGAACAGTCCAATGTACGGTTTGAATTCTGACATTTATTGCAGTGGAATGAAAAAATTAGAGGCAAACTGACGGAGCCTGCTGCAGTTGCCTCTAAACTTCCGAAGTGAATGCTTGTAAGGTGGGGAGTGTGTAGCCCAAGTACACAGTAAAAGGGTAATTTTGTACCTGAAAACCTTTTTTTCTCTGTTGGTTGGTTGGTTTGTTTGTTTTCCCTTTCACAACCTCATAATCATCAGCTTCCCCGCCACAGCCCTGTCTGTCTGGTCATCTGCGAAAATTAATCTGGGTTATGCTGCCTTACTTTATAACTTGCCTACATTACCATTTAATGTTCTTTCATCCTTTAATTTTGTGATTTTGTATTCATCACTGAATCTCCCATTCAAATATTTTTAATGTT